TATATATTAGTGAAAAGTTAGGGGCATTTATCATATGTTTACTGAGTATGAAAATGTCTAGCTATACCACTTAATCATCATTTCTGATATCTCTTTTGAACATGGGTATGAACAATTCCTGCACTGAAATTCTTTTCTTCTTCTGAAGCTTAATCTTCTTCTTAATCTTCTTCTTAATCTTAATCTTCTTAATTTTCTTCTTCTGGTAGCTTAATCATCTGATATTATTATTTATTTAATTTATCTGCCTAGTTAATTATTCAGTGTTGAAGTGTTAGCATAATTCAGATTAAATTATCAAAACTTTCTGGCTTAATGGCATTGAATATAAGTTTGAATGGTTTAAATTTTCTTCTCTTGAAGTTAACTCTATTTGTTCTACTAATCCAACTTTCTTATAAATGCCAGATAGTAAATATTTCTCCATTTCAGGCCACATACAGTGGCCTTTTTCATTCATAGCCTTTTAAGGATTTAATACCATCCTTGACTTATGGGCTAGATAAAAAATAGGCCATGGATACGTTTTGCTCCATGGGCCACAGACTAAATGTGAGCAAAGCAGAGGGCAGATGGGCACTTATCAAACAGGCGTGGGTGTCAATAAGCATCCAGGTCTTGTTGCCACTCCTCCTCTGTACGTGGTGTCTTTCCCACTTGAATCTGATCTATGCAATTTAAAAACTTAAAATGAGCAGGCAACATATGATGGTAGAGATATGCTGAGATCTATAGATTCCCACCGCTGCAATTTTACTGCTGGAGGAGACTTTGCAGAGTGTCTGACTTGAGCTCCGTACTCTTTTAATGGATAACCCATAACTCATCAGTAAGTATGATGAACTAGCCAACTTACAAATACCGGAGGGACAGGAGGCCTTTAAAGGAATCTTTTCGTAATTCAGTCAGGGAATTTTCACTGAGATTTCTGAAAGATGGAAAGGTTATTTCTAGATCAAATTTTGTGAAAAAGAGAAAATGTATAGCAGTTACAAAGTATGAGGAAATGAATTCTTTCATATTCTGGCACCCAGTTTGTAAGCTGGCACAATGTCTTTTGGGGGAATTAAAGTTTAATGTTTGCAACAGTTGTCACCACAACAATCCCACTTCTAGATCTCTATTCTACAGAGTGGTTCACAAGGTTCACAGACAGGCACACACAGGGATGATCATTGCATCCACACAGGTAAACAGGAAAATTGGACACATTCTGAGCATTGGTCATAGGGAATTGTTAAATCCACCATGATGGATACATCCTGTGGAATATTATGCAGGAGTGTAAATGTACAGGGTGACCAATGGTCTACACATGCGGAAGGAGAGAACCCTGACACATCTGAAGTGAAAGATTCACATTGTAGGATGCTGCCATTTAGATAGAAAGATCAGACAGGCACTGGACACAACTGTTCTGACATATGTAAACATGTATGTAGGCAAATACTTGGGGAGGGTCTGCAAAGGTATATATCAAACTCAGCAGTGGCTCCTTCAGGGATGGGGAATCAGGGCACACAGGGAAATCTCACTTTACTGCTATCTCACTTTCACCCATTAAGAATATAATCATTTTTAATCATTCTCAGTCAGGTTTATTTGTATAACAGATGATAAACATAAATTGTTTCTTATTTCAAGGAGAATCCACAGGAGTTATTTCTCTATTTTTGCTATAATGTAGGGTATGGAACCCAGAACCTCAGTCATGCCAGAAAAGTATGCTACCACTGAGCACTCATGAAATTTCCTTTTCACAATAATCAGAATTTCAAACCATAGAGATTGATTTGGGATACAGAAGAGGAAGGTACTAAGATCAAAATTCTGGACCAACAAGCTTACTACAATGCAGATTTTTCAATCCCCTTACTCACAGTTTCTCAGCCCACTGGTATGTTGTCCAAATATCCTTATCAAGGTAAGAAATAGAATTTCCTTGGAGATTCCTGTAATGAATAGGAAAAGAATGAACAGAATATGTAAAAGAATCATGGTTACCTGTAGGGGATATTCAAACACAGAAAGAAAATACTTTGTGATATCCTGGGCTACCAGCTTCCCAGTTTTCACAAAAAGAAAGCACGTGGGTCCCCCTGGCATGATGATGAGGCTTCTCCACAAAAGCTTCTCTGAACCTCTCTGACCAAGCTCCGGGGCAGGTAACACCAGCCAAGCACTTGCAATGGAAGTGGCTGACAATCATAGCCAATGCTCAGGCTCCAAGTAACCAGTCACCTTCACCTTGTGACTTGATTCTGACCAAGGACAGCAGGCATGGCCTGCACCCTCTTCAGCACTTACTTATACAGCTCCCCTACCACCTCCACCTTTGAATTTTTTTTCCCATTTTAATTCTTGTTTTGAGACAGAGCCTCACTAACTAAACTGCCCAGGCTGATCCTGATCTTGTAATCTTCCTGTCTCAGCCTCCCAGAGTGCTGGGATGATAGGCGTGCATCACCTCACCACTCCCCTTCGATGCCTTTCCTTTTGGTTCCGATCTGTAAGCTTCATATTCTGGAGACAGAGTAATCCTACGGCCGCCCCTGTACTTAGCCCTGGATTGGGCATGAAATGGATGCCATATATACTAAGCCAAGAACAAACATGAACCTGGCATCACTGAAGGACTGAAAAATAATATAAATAGCTAGGTCTCATGTAGGTGTCAGGCTGTGGTGGGTGCGTGCCATCTATTCATTCTTCTATTCAAAGTCTCACCAGCCTAGGAAATGGCAACTTTCACAATTCCCATTTTATAGATGAGGAAACTGAGTCACAGAAGCCACTATCCACCCAAGGTAACACAATAAAGAGATAAACCACTGGGTTCAAAAATAGGCAGTCTGGTTCCCTAGTCTTCTCTTCCTCTGTCTTTGGTGCTCTTCTTTCTTTTTCTATGCTAGGGATGGAACCCAAGGCTGTGCACGTGCTGGGCAAGAACTCTCCCCTCTGGGCGAGGCCCAGCTGATGATCCACTCTTAACTGCTGGGTTCTGTCATCAGCAGTGGGAGGAGTTGTAAAGTGTGTGAAGGAAAGTGGGAGGGTCAGGCAATGATGTGATGGGGCTAAGTCAAAGTGGACATGGAAAAGCAGAGGGCAGCTGCAAAGAAAAGACTTGGAAAGGAGCACAAGAGAAAGGAGACCAGGGTGAGGAAAGGGTAGGAGCAGGAAGTCCATCCTTGTGGCTGCAAGGGAGGCTGGCCCAGGGAGACCTAGAGGAAGGGTGGCCACGCCAGGCGGAGCAGGGCCCACAGAGGAGGAAGGGGAATCTTACAAGATGGTGAAGATGGTGTTGTAGACCCTGGGCTCTAAGGCAGGAACTTGCTGCAGCCTCTGTGTTGGGCTGAGGCCAGTGCATGACAGGGTCTGCTCTTGGCAGGAACAGAGCTCACATATGTCCATGTGTGTCACGGTACTCTGTTCCTTTTGCACACTTAAAGCCTTCTTCTCTGAAGGTTGAGTGGTGACTTCAGTCAGGCTTTGATACTGAGCTGAAACCTGGTCTGGGGTAGACTCCTGCAGAGCTACAGTGTGTGTGGCCTCTGCAGTAGGCATGGCAGGGGTGGTGTGATCCACGTCTGAAGGTTGATCTGTGACCCTGGGTGATGCTGAATTCTGAGCTGGCTTCTGACCAGCAGTTGGAACTGTCATCTCAGGAGACCCTGGAGTTTGAGTCAGAGTCTCCATATGTGGTTCTGGAGGCTGAGAGGGGGTGTCCCGGGCAGTTGGAGAAGGTCTACCTTTTGTAGTATGTTGTGGAGTTCTGCTGAGTTCTGCACCCAAAAGTCCAATTATGGCTCGAGTCAGGTTTGGAAGCTGACCTGAAAAATGGTCTAGGGGTGGAAGCACCACCCCAGGGTGTATTGCAGGAGGAGCTGTAGACTTCTGTGGGGCTACAGTGTGTGTGGCCTCTGCGGTGGGCACGGCAGTGGTGGTGTGATCCACATCTGAAGGTTGGCCTGTGACCCTGGGTGATGTTGAATTCTGAGCCGCCTTCTGACCAGGAGTTGAAACTGTCATCTCAGTAGACCCTGGAGTTTGAGTTAGAGTCTCCATATGTGGTTCTGGAGGCTGAGAAGGGGTCTTCAGGACAGTTGGAGAAGGTCTAGCTTTTGTAGTACTTTGTGGAGTTCTGGTGAGTTTTGGGTCCAAAAGTCCAGTTGTGACTGGAGTCAGATTTTGAAGCTGAGTCGCAACATGGTCTGGGGGTGGAAGCATCACCCTAGGGTACATTGCAGCGGGATCTGTAGACTTCTGTGGGGCTACAGAGAGTGTGGCCTCCGTGGTGGGCACTGTAGCTGTGGTCAGCTCCCGGTCCAAAGGTTGGCCTGTGATCCCAGCTGATGCTGGATGCTGAGTAGGGCCTTGACTTGGTGTTTGAACACTTATCTCACGAGGTGCTAGAGTCTGAGTGACAGCCTCCTTCGCTGGGTCTGGGGGCTGGGAGGAGGTCTCCTGAACAGTTGGAGAAGGTCTAGCTTCAGTAGTTGATGGTGGAGTCCTGGTGAGCTCTGGGTCCAGATGTCCAGCCGTGCCTCGTATCGGGTTTTGGTAGGGAAGCATCATCTCAGGGTGCCTTGGAGAAAGAGCTATAGATTTATCCTCTGCAGTGGTTTCTGGAGTGATGGTGACTTCCAAGTTGGGAGGATGGGACATGACACTGGGCAATGGTGGCAGGAGAACTTGATCCTGAGGTGATGGTGGAAATGTCATCGCATAATGGACTGGAGCGTGAGCCACACTTTCATTGGGTGGCTCAGCTGGATACTGAGGTAGGTCCACTGCTTGAGTTGGAGAAAGCTCTACCTCCTCAGGAGGCTCTGGAGATGGAGATGGGGCTGGCGGCAGCACTGGCAGGGATCTCCCCTCAGGGAGTTCTACAGGCTGAGGTGGCATCACCTGCTGAGCTGGAGAAGTTTCCATCTCATTAGGTGACCCTGAAAGTGGGGCTGCAGCCTCCTGGAGGACTGGAACTGGTTCTGTGTCCTCTGCCGACACTGAAGATTGGTCTGAAAATGTTATGCTTCCTCTCCATTTAAAAGCAACAGTAGCACTCACAGAAGGTCTCCAAGGCTGATCTGGGAGCTGTTGCGGGACTGATCCAAGTGAAACTTCTGCAGTGGAGTTCAGGGACAGAACAGAGCTGTCCTGCTGGTGCGGAGAATGCTCCTCAGGAAGCTCTGCAGGCTGAGCTGGGACCCTGCTGTGGGATGGAAAAGGTTCATCCTTCACGGCAGCACTGAGCCACTCAGTTGGACCTTCTTCCTTGTCGGTAAAAGATCCAAACGGCTCAGGGGTCACTGAGGACTGAGCTTGGGCCCCCTGTTCAGGTGAATTTTCAATTTCAATCTCATTAGTCACTTCTGGAGGTGCCGCAATGACACTGTCCAATATTGGAGGCTGAACTTGATCATTAACTAGAGGAGAAACTGTTCTCCTGTGATCTTCTGGAAGCTGAGCTGTGACTTCATGAGGGAGCTCTGGAGGCAGAGGTGCATCCTCTTCAGGGGTTTGCAGATATTCCACGCTCTCCTGCTGGGTTGAGGAAGGCTCACCCTTCTCGGGAGCCTGGAGATTCCCTCCCCTGGTCTCTGGCTGGCTGGGAGAAGCTTGCTCATCCTGAAGAGGTTCTGAAGATGAAGCTGGAACCTCCTGTTGGAAGGCTTCAAGTTCTTCAGAGGGCTTTGGAGGCAAAGTTGGGGCCTCCTTCAGGGCCACAGGAGGTTCCATGTCATCCAGTGGAACTGAGTGTTGAGCTATAGCCTCATGCTGGGTTAGGGAAGTTCCCACCTCTGCAGTGGGTTCTGGTGTTATGGTGAGTTGTAGGTCTGGAGATGTCACTGTCAACTTGGGTAAGTGTGAATGCTTAGCTTGATGGTGACCTGGAGCTGAAATTGTTACTTTCTGGTGTGATGGACTCTCACCTATAGTCTCCAGAGGGGCCTCTGGAGCTTCATCATCTTCCTGGACAGGAGGTTTGTCTTCCTCGAGAAACTTTTCAGGCTGAGCTGGAGCTACCAGCTGGTCCCCAGAAGATTCAACCTCCTCAGCAACCTCAGAAGGTTGAGCTGGCTGTTCCTGCTCATGAGGAAGTTCAGCCTCTACAGGAAAACTGAGAGGCTGAGAGAGGGTTTCCTGCAGGGCTAGAAAAGATTCAGCCTCCCTGGTAGGCTCTGAAGTCACAGTACGTTCTATATCCACAGGCCTAACTGTCACAGTAGATAAGTTGTGATCAGGATCTAGATCCTGGCCTGGAGGTCGGACTGTTACTTCCTGAAATGGTTGAATTTCACCTATAGTCTCCAGAGGGGCCTCTGGGCCTTCATCATCTTCCTGTTCTG